TTCGTAACAGGTGCATGGGACCAGATTTGAAATTAATATTTTCTGTATAATAATACGACTTATATATTGTAATAGCATTTCACACAAACATATAATAAAACTCTTATTTCAGCTAAAGGTTATTGAAACTTCAAACTTTTAGACGGGTTTGATTGACACATCCTTGCACTCTCACAAATTTTAATTTTATTCTTAATACTTGGGAAAAGTGGAAATCTTGTTTCATTAATTTTAAGATGAAATAAAATTAACTTTAAATCTGTGTCCATCTATCTTTAAAAGTTATTAAAAATATTGATATTGAGACGATATTTCTTCCCAAAAAGATGGAATTAGTATTTCAGTGAAAATTGGTGGTGTTAATAAAAAAAATAAACATTTAAATTCTATAAAAATGCATAATATAAAAATTATTTGATTTCAAAAAAGAGTTTTCATTTATTTAAAAAAAATATATCTCAGTTTGTTGTTTTCAACCGCGATTCTACGAAAACATTGGTATCCTTTTTTCAGAGGTTTTTGCATTTATAGCTGAGTACTAGATTTAACGCGTTTTTGCAGATGATATTGCCGACGCTTTGTTAAAGTTTTATATATTTAATTTCATGAATTTTTTTAAACATAGAAAATTGCCTGAGAATTGTGAAAAGTTTCTATGCGCCGACAGAAACGAAATCGCCAAGAAAAAAAAAAGAAAAAGAAAAAAAAAACGGGACCGTCGGGAGCCGGTGAGACTAGATTTACCGCGTGCACGTTTGTTAAATTTTTTTCTCTTGTCGTGTTTTTATGTACGTTTGTACTGTAAAGATGATTGTTGGTTTTGCATTCATATATGTTTGTTACGTACTTGGTCGTTGGTTTTGCTTTAATGTATATTTGTTCTTCAAAAACGTCTGTTGATTATGCATTGTATATCATTTGTTATGTTTTTATGGTCATTGAAATTAAAATAATTGTTTGTTTTCTCATTATGGTAAATTTTGCCCTTTCCGCTGCCCATAGACGTCATATAGTTATGAAATGTAACAGAAATATGTATCTTGAAGATTCCATTAAATTTTGGGCAAAATATCTGTATTTTAAAAAAAATTCTGCTAAAATTATCGGTATGTTGATATCGCTGATGGAGAGGTACGGAGCACGACAAAAAAACTGAAGCAAAAGGATGCGGAATCCAAAATTTAACTCATCTATTTTCTATAATTCGCGATATTTTTCGACAATTTTCTTAAATGTATTTTTAAATTATTCTATTATTATGTATTTAGATTTCTGGCGTGATATTTGAAGTACTAATAGAAATATAGTGATTTTCCTCTTATGCGATTCCCGTGAAAACGACTGTGAAAATGACGTCTCCTGAATTGACGGCGCAACACATTTTGTTAAATTATGTGTAATGCTCGAGATATCGCCAACATAGATAAAAAGTATGCATAATGAAACATGTAGTAAAGTAGGGTATTCGTGACATTCGTCCACAAATAGCAAATTGAAATTTTAGACAGTTAGACCTCTGTAAAAAGGCTAAACGGGAAGACGGGAAGAAGATTATCGACGAAAACTTTATCCGGACTGTAAAAAACGTGATTGAGACTCACTAATATCACACTATATCTTATATATACCTGCAGTTTTTTGGTTTTGAAACAAAAAAAAGAATATTCTTTACTTGTTTAATAGATTTTAAGCTTGATAAGAAATGTTTGGACGTTGAGTAGATAAGGTAACTCAAACTGTACAGATACTCTTGGGAAAATGTTGAGAAAATGAAAACTCAATCACGTATTTTTTTTATAATGCCTGTGACATCGAGGATTTTGCTGCTCCATGACTTATTGATATGTCCTGAAAAATCACTCAAAATTGATACCAATTTACAACATTTTTATATGAAATTTTGAAGACCATATAAGTAAAGATTCTTTTATATTATGTGTGACATTTTGCCCAATTATGTCGTCAAATATTTTTTCTGTGCAACAAGTCCGCGTAATTTTTGAACGGCCCTCGTAAATGCGGATGGGAGGCGCTTTGTTGTGAATAACATATCATGACTAACAAAGAACCACAGGGGAGACTCTGGGATGATGACACCAATGCTGCCAGCATGTACGAGTAACAAGGTATGTAGATTTCTCTTCTTAAAATTTCAAATATTTTTTAAAAAAATATTTGAATCTAAAAATTTTGAAAAAAAAAACCTGTAAATCAACACGCTAAGTTCCTTTAATTATCATTTAAGAAACCCAAATTGTCCGGTGTATATATATAAAATACATTAAAAAACTGAATCCAGAAGTCACTGTGGCAAAGACCAAAATCACTGCCAACATCATTTGACCCTGATAACCTTGACCTGTGTTATGACAATATGGTGGTGGGGAAGAATACACTTTGAAAATTTATGCAGTTAATCAGCAGAGCTCGAGGCAAAACTTGCCACAGTATACACTTAACATTCTATAAGAGCAACATATATTACAATCTTGGACGAATCGAGATGTATGCAACTTCCGGGGAAATAATACTACAGTTGCACCCTTTGATTGGGACAATTCTTTTGTTACTACCAAATTTGGTTCTTTATTTCTACCTGTAGTAAGGTGATATAAAAAGTACACTTGTGTTTGTCTGATGGTTCCGAGATTGAGGGATGATATCGCTTCCACAAGCATTTTGGTCCGTCTTTGAATAGAACATATATCGGAATATTGATAGCATTCGAAGCTTTTTCCAAACTTTTCTTAAGATCGTCGTCTGTTGAAATGCCTTAAGGTAGGACAAAACACCCGTGGTTTCTATTTTAACCCATTTCTTAAAAATTACTGGAGGAAAAAAGAATAAAATTACTATATTAACATCAATCAATGATCCCCGAAAGAAAAATAATAAGTTTTGGCATATTTGCGTTATATTTTGTGAAAACATCAGAGAATCCTATATATTGGTCACTTGGGAGCTTACATTTTGGAATGTGTTTACGCTATCTAAGTGCAATAAACAAGCATGTAACAGTCTGTTATAAAATGCAGTGCAACTTTTGTTCCATAAATAGTAGAGTGGTGATACTTGGAAACATATATAAGGTGTCTCTATTCTTCATGTACTACAAAGGTCAAGGTCATATAACGAGGTAAAAGGTCAAATATTGTGACGTCATCTACTGAATCTTTTAGTTTTATTGCCATTGAATCTTTTTTAATCGCCAAAATATCTTAAACCAACGGTTCAATTTTCTTCATTTTTACACATTTTATTCTAGGACCCATTTGAATCATTCTGTTGATTTTTTGTAAAAATTGAATTATACATTTTCTCTTAAAACAAAATAGACTGTCGGATATTTACATGTGAATTTTCAGTTTCTGACACAATGTATGTTCTATTTTACCTAATTTTTTACCCAATTTTTCCAGTATCAATGTGACTTACTGATTTAAAGTAACAAAAAGGTTATTTTTATTGAAAGTGTTACACAAATTTGCAATAGATCAATAGAAAATTCTAAAATAAAGCTCATTCTCAAGTCGAATGTCTGATTTCGCAATTTTCTTACAGGGGTCTGATAGGCCATATTTCAGACTATGTGGGCAAAAAATGTGCGGTTGAATTTCTTTCATATCATGTATAAAGAGAGATTTTGTATCCAAGAACAAAATATCAAAGTTTAAGAAAAATTGAATTTGTGGCAAAATTTGACCTATCTATTTGGTCCTACCTTAAATGACTCCCCTAAAATTAGCAAGACAATTTCGGTAATTATTTTGTATCAATAAAAAGTGAATAATATTTTGATAAGTATTTACATTATTATTTTTCTCTCGTTGTTAACATGAAAAAGAAATTCTTTTATTATTATATTAGCCTTAAGCTAGTTATATGTAAATCCGATTTTTTAAATTATCTTAATAAAGATTTCTTAAATAGTGTGCTATTTAATCAGTACATGTATTACGAACGAAAAAATTATGTAAAATTTATTTGCTTTCACCAATAACACTAAATGCATAACTTGCATGGAAATAAACAATAATATGCCATTCTCAATTAAAGCAGATATCAACGATCATTGCAGAAAAAGGCATTCAACACATAAAACAAGATTATTTTGTTTATATATTAACACGACAACCAATTGATAAAAAGTACATGAAAGAATATGTATGGTTTCTCTTAAAGTCATCATTTTTCAAGTTTAATAGTCGGAAAATTACCTTGTCTTCAAATGCAATTCATAAATATGTCCAATGCTGATGAACGTTTTTCATGCTAATTATTAGGCTATTATAAACATACTGTTTCACCTACGGATTTACCCGTGCCGTAATCTTTGAATACATTCTTGACTTTGCGAAACAAAGATTTCCTTGCTGAGACATTGATATAATGTTCAATTTTCTATGTGGTCAATTCCTCTTCCTTCTATTTCAAAGCAGGTGCTTATGGCAATTTGAAATTGTGTCCTGATTTTCAGGGAATGGCTGTATTTCGTCTAAGCATCTTTTAGATCCTTTGATATGTTTCAGGTGTCTATGTGTATTGGTGTGTCCTCGTCCCTCCGGTGGGCAGCAAATATGAGCTGTCCTCTCTATAAAATATATAGTGCAAGGGGAGAAAACATATTTTTAATTATCATAGTTGAAAACAAAACTCAAACAATGTACCTACTGAGCTGAGTAAAGATGAATTCCTCCTTCTTTCCTGATATCATAGGGAAGTTTCCAATCACTTCGGGTTTTTGACTTTGACAAGAAACTCCGTAGTATTTTCCTATAAACTTCAAACCCTTTGCCCTCTGCACTTAAAGGGACGATTTGAAAACAGTGTCAACAGATGTACAGATGGGATGAAATATATCATGTCTGCTTCCGTCAGAGACATACAACTCAATGTGATATAAACTGGCAACGGCAAAACTGTCCCCTTCGCCGAACATTTTCCATTCTTTCAAATGCTTCTTTTGAGCATTTGTGCGATTTTGTTCTTGTAATTTTCCCCTTCTCTTTGGATTTTTTTCATCATTAGCGCGTTGAATCTCCCGTTCATTTATATACACATTCATTTTCTTTTCAATCAATCGAGAATATACCTCTTTAAAACATAGATTTGACTGATGAAGACCAACTATGTCTCTGATAAAAACATTTGCAGCTTTATCTGCGTAACAAGCATCACCGAGAACGTCAAAAATTGTCAAACCTTCCTCATCTGTAGTGTGTGTTCCACTACAGAGAAAATTGAAGTTAAAGTCTTCCTTTAAGACGTCAAAACTGTTACAAAATCTTCTATCCAGGCACTTTTCATGACCTTTATTTATTATTATGAAAGGTGATGAATCGAGTGGGCGATCCTCGGGCCAGTTAACTTCTTGAAAATATGCTCCATCTTCAACCATTTTCAAAACAATAACGATGATATTCAGATCTCCATCATCCTTTTCTGGAAATGGTTGAATATATATTCCTCTGAACACCGTGGTGCCCTTCTGCAATGTCATCAAACATATGGCTTTCTGTAAGATTCCAGCTGCTGCATAAACTTCTCGCAAAGTTGGAAAGAATGAAAAATCCATCACCTTTTTAAGATCTCTGTCAAATGCTGTTAGAGCTGAATCTCCTGTAGAAACATCATACTGTGAAGGTTTGAAGAGCTGAAAATAATCTCTTTCCTCTCGTTCATACTTGCTTATTTCTTTACGGGCATTAGTTCTTGTTTGTATTTCATTTCGTTTGTGATTTGAAATTATCTTGAACAAGTCTGAAAATTCGTTGTACTTTAGAGAGAAATCCACCTCAGCAATGGCATTTGCTTCCTCGGTCCATGATACAGTTGGCAAGATAGGATTCGGTCCAGCCATGATCAATTTAGATTCACAATATAATGTAGACCTCTTGAGGGGATCTTGTGTAGACTACCATTTTGAAGCCGATAAAACAAATCGCTAACATATAAATAAGGCATATCTCTTCACAATGTCAAATATAGAGATAACCTAAATGATAAACTGTCTGAGCATTATGCAAACAATTGCATGCACAGCTGGAAAACAAGGAAAACTACTCTGGTCTTCATATACATTTTTGCATATAGAGTGAATGGGTTAGAATAAGCTTGCAATTACTTTTACTGATTGTTTTTTCAAGTATTACCACCTAATCAAGTTAAGGAATTTAAAGTAAAAAGGTTATCTTGGAATTCAGACGTTTTTTTATTTCATGAAATTCAATTTTAAAATTTGAAATTATTATGCGCTCGGATCGATAGATTTGGAGCTTATATTGTTTTTGTCCTGTCTTTCTGTTTGTCTGTTTGTTTGTTTGTCTGCAAATTTTATCCTTCGCCGTAACTTTTAAACCATGAAAGATAGGAACTTCAGATTTGGTATGCATGCTCCACTAAATAAGCTCTTTCAAATATTACCAAGGTCAATGACCTTGTGATCTTAATTGTGACTTATATGCTAAAATAACTTTTTGTCTTCGAACTTTTTTAGCCCTCCACCGGCAAGTGGTGGCGTCTCCATATGAGTGAAAAATTCTCGAGAGGGACGTTAAACAATCAATCAATCAATCTTTAAAACCTCTGAATTAAGGGTAAATCGAATTCTTTTTGTCAAGACTTCCAAGATTTCTTAGAAATGTTGTAAGAATAAGTATATTTTAAAAGTGTACTGTACATTGTATATAATTTTCTTTAATATTAAACGCCATTTTTTTAGACTTGAACGTAGAAAACTAAATGAGAAAACGCTTAGGAGTTAAACAACTTATAAAGTAAAGCTTGCCAGTCTTGACTGAAGGCGTGAAGATAAATAAATATTTCATTTTACTTCTTTCAGCTAAATTTTGTTTCTTTTTCTTCCTCTCTTCAGGTTTATTTTAAATGTAATTTATCTTTGACACATGATCCCGCTTCTGATGTTTTGAAAGTCCGCGTTTGCTATGCTCCTATTTTGTATTGTTTTATGGTCTTTGATTTTGAATACTGTTCGTTATCTTCAAATCCTTCCTTGTAAACATTTGTTTTAATTCCATAATACTATACATGCATGATAAAGGTACTTGACATTTGTATACAATTGAATTATACTTTTAAAAAGGTTGCAGAACGAAAAAGTTTAAAAAGGTTGCAGAAGGAAAAAGTTTCAACTATTGTGATGATGACTTTTAATGCTCCCATAATCAAAGATTTTATTTTTTTTAAAAATGTTGTCTTTCTGTATCCCTGTCTAAGTGCTGTTTTGGACAGTTTGGGCCAGAAATATTATATAAATATGTGTGTTCAAAGTCACAAGACCTTTCCTTGAACTTCATTACTTTTAGTACTAGTAACCCTCTGGATCTGAAGATATTAGCAACTTTTGAAATACATCTTTATATATATACAATACCCTTCTTAGTTCTTCTTTTGGAAAGCATTATTTTCATCTCTTTTATGTATGGAAGGATATGGAAATAACGAACAGTATTCAATCTCAACGTATATTGGATTTGAGTTTGGCTTGAGTTTGAAAATACGCTACATGTAACCTCCGCCATGAGTTGTCATTCCAAGGCATCAGTATTTCAAAAACACATCTTATTTTATGTAAGAAAGAAAAATAACATTTGAAACATTTAAAAATTTTACGAGAAGTAAGTCAAACAGAAGGCAGTAATGATATCAAAATCTGCATGCCGACTATTATACAATGTATACATGTACTTGCATAGATCTGATCGATTTTTAAACAGACTGCAAAAGCTACTAATTTTAAGTAAGCCTCTTTTAAATAATTTTTTTTTTCAAATTAAAGCTTCATCCACGTAATTTTCTTGTTTTACGGAATTGCTACATTGTACTTCCTTATTGCTGTCATCGTTACTTGCCTTTATTTCCTCTATACCAAGACGTTATCAGCTAACCAGGTAAAAATAATAAACCTTTCCATTGTTTATCTACACTAATATCAAAAATGTTAAATTAAGAAAATTGTTGTCTAGGATGTCATCAGGAAGACATAATATGAATTTTATTTCTAGCTAAACCCATGCGTGATTTAGGGATTATATATTTGATGATTTCCTTATACTTTTTATTTATGCATCACCTTGTATCAAGATTTCCAAATAATCAGTCAAAATTCGCTTACACAGTCTTATTTATCTTATTATTATATCACCAAAACTCATTTTTGTTGTTATTGTAAATATTTGTATTTCAACACAAAAAACCAGTATTTTTCCATCCTTGTATAACTTACTCCATTCTTGTGCGCACTTTTCCGAATTATCTCCTTAAACTCAACCATCTTTCATATTTTAGTCTGCTCTATTTGTGACAATTCCGGAATCTTGAGGTATGACCATACAAAGTTCTCAATTAGTCATTGTTAACATCACGTGACTTTGATTGTGTATATATACGGAGACTCCGCAGTCATCTGTTGTTGTTCTTCGGATGCAGCCAAGGAGAGAAGACGATAGACAGTGTTCAAAGACTGTACATAGTAAATAAACTTTGCTATTATTAATTCCTCGCCTGTTCATTCAGTTAGAGAGTGAATTTGGAAGGCCAACGAGGTTTGCCAAACCTGCTACAGAGGTTAACCTCAAGCGAAGAGGCTAGCCATAAAGTTCGTCTGCATTGGCTGACCAGTCCGTCCAGGCCGCTATACTCATTGTCCGTCCTGAATAAGGCATCCTACAGTGAGTGTAGTGGTTGAAGGGCTATCACATATACTATCCGTCCTGAATAAGGCATCCTACAGTATATGCGGTAGTCCGAGGGCGACTGGGCTTGCATTTTAGTATTAATATTATTAGGTCTACCAAATCATTTAATTATTGCTTGCCTCCGATTATTTTAGTGATTAATCTTTTGATTATTGTTAACCTAGATAAGGTTAGGACGTATATGTATATTTCGGTAGTCCACTAAGTTCATATAAATTATTTCTAATCAGTTTAAGTTAAACACTCCAAACCCTGGAAATGACCAGGTACGATCCCAGTGATTAATTGTAAATACGTTACAAAAATTTGGTGGCAGCGGTGGGATTTGGGGTTGCATTAAATCATTAAAGTTTATTATTATATAGTTTTTGTCCTGATTAATTGTAGTTCAGTTAAAGTTTATTTTGTGATTTTTCGATATGTCTGAGAGTGACATTGTGGATGCAGAGATGACTGCCTTAGAGCAGGAGCTTAGTAAGCTTCAGGCCAGTATAAATAAAGAACGAGCAAGGACGGCCGCCAGAGATTCAGGATTACCTGAAAGTAGGTGGACCACGATAGATTTAGGTGAGGGCGTAAGACCTAAAACAAATAGGACGACCACCCTACCAAGTATATATACTAGGCCTGACAACCTTAGCGAAGTGAGAAGAGCTGATGATGGCGAGCCAGATAGGTTTTCCGTTACGAGCACACCATACCATGCTTATACATCCATTCATGATTTCCCATTGTTGAATGAGGCAAACATTACAACCCGCCGTCCTGAGAATATTACACAGGCTGACAAACGGAAAAACGCCATGGTGAAACCAGATAAATTTGATGGAAGTTCGTCATGGGCTAATTTTAAGACTCACTTCGATGTCTGTGCAGAACTAAACGGATGGACTTTGACTGAGAGGGGGATGTACTTAGCCGTTGCTCTAAGAGGTCAAGCACAGAGTGTCCTTGGAAATCTGCCGGCTGTAGACAGATGTATCTACAGACTTTTAAGTAAGGCACTTGAAGAGAGATTTTTGCCGTCCAATCAGACTGAATTATATAGGGCTCAGTTGAGGGAAAGAAGGCAAAAGGCTACAGAGTCATTACCAGAGCTTGGACAGGACATGCGTCGTCTGGCAAACCTGGCCTACCCAACGGCTCCTGTGGAAGTGAGAGAAACCCTGGCGAAAGAACAGTTCATTAATGCCTTAAGGGAAAGCGACATGCGACTGCGCATTAAACAAGCCCGGCCAGTGGACTTGAATGACGCAATCAGGCATGCCGTTGAATTAGATACATTCAATTCAGCTGAACGACGTTTGACAGAGAGCAAAGGATATTTGAGGGAGGTGAAGCCAGAAGAAAAGACAGACCAAGGAGATACTATTACATCACTACTGAAAGCAATCCAGGATATCAAAAAGGAAATGCAATCTATGAAGATGAGAATGGAGAAGCAAAACTCTACACAGCCATTCTTTCCTGGTGTGACCTGCCATTACTACAAAAAGAAAGGCCATGTGAAGAAGAACTGTTTCAAGTATAAAAATGCGATACAAGGCATGTCAAATGCCAGCACAAGCCAAAGGCCAGCGCCTTTAAGAAGTGAACATCAGAATGCTAAGCAAAAGGATAGCACAGCCAACAAGACAGGCATTAGTCGAAAAGCTGGGGAAGCTGGTATTTTTATCGAAGCAGTTATTAATGGCTACAGGGTTAAGCTACTTGTAGATACTGGTGCGACCCTCAGTATTATTTCACCAGACATACTACATTCTGTTCTTAAGGATATGCACCCAAGACTTAATGAGGTGAGCAAGCCCATCCTAATGGCTGATTGTACTGCCATGAAATTGGAAGAGTCTCTTTCAATTTCTTTTACAATAGCGGACTCAATGTTTAGCCAAACATTTGCTGTAGCAGATACTGGTGTTGATGGCAAACTTGGGCTTTATTTTATGACGAACAATGATTGCTTGATTGATTGACAAACTGACAAACTCTTGTATGATTATTAAGGTCAAGCGTGTAAAACTTGTTTTTGAGGGCAAGATAGGTTGCTGAAGGATAACCTTGGCTGAGAATGTCAATGTTCCACCTTACAGTGAAATTATAATCATTGGCAATGTCATACCTCCTGTCTTTGAAAAGGTACCCCAATTTGGTATCGTAGAGTCATCTTATCGTTTCTTAGAATCCGATAGAGGTTTAGTGGTCAGAACTTTAGTAGAAGGCAATAAAGTAGCCCCCGTTAGACTGATGAATCCTTCTGCAGAAACACAAACCCTAT